ACGTTTCTGTCCAAAGGTTCCATGATGGAGTCGATAATGTTTTAAAATATCACTTTGAGTGGTGACACTAGTGCTGCATAGTTTACATCTCCATCCCATCTGTGATTCAAAAAATAGAAATGGGTACGTTTACCTGATGCTCATTATATTAGTATGTAAACATAACACGTCTTGAATTAACCTCTGAAACAACAACTCTGACACACTCAAGGGCTTACCTAATGTGAACCTGAAGTCCATAGCAGGAGGCAAAATGTCTTCAAGAGGAGGTGTGACTGTTTTCTGGTGAGGCAAATGAAAGAACAAAATAGTTACATGATGACAATGTAACAATTATTTCAGTAGAATTCATTAAAACATATTTAATTCAATTAATGGAATCAAACATTAAAACACAAGTATTATTTAAAACGGTATTGTATTTATATTAGGGCTGTCAGTCGATTAAAAATATTTAATCGCGATTAATCGCATGATTGTCCATAGTTAATCGCGATTAATCGCAAATTTTTTATCTGTTCTAAATGTACCTTAGAGGGATATCTTTCAAGTTTTTAATACTCTTATCAACATATGAGTGGACAAATATGCTTTATATGTTTGTTTATTATCATTTGAACAATGACAAATATTCTCATGAATATTAAACACAACAACCTCTGAACATTACAAATATTCGCCTCAATTCAACCTGGAACCTCTCTCATACAATAATACTGTGTGTGTGTGTGTGTGTGTGTGTGTGTGTGTGTGTAGACACTGTGATGGATCGTTGAGCTATGTGCAGCTGCTCAAGGCATATATGCTCGAATGGGAGCTGCCTGGACGCTGCAATAATGTTGCGCGTACTATCCGTGCTGAGTGTGCTGACTTTTCGTACAATGTCACACTGTCTGGCTACCTGCATAAAGTCAAGTGCTCGGCGCAGTTGTCGGCGAAATGTCATTGAAACAGCTCCTTATATCCGTTAGCGCAGCTAGCTAGCACCAGATGCTAACAACAACAACAACACGTAAGGTGTGCCTCGCTCGCGCGAGTCGCGCCACACATACACACTCCCTCCCGGTCCTCCCGATGGCCAGTCCGGGCCTGCCAGTGAGCGTGGAAGTGTGGTCTGCCACAAGCGGGCGGCAGGAGCGGGGCTGTCAGCATCAGCTTGTCGATGGTATTTTACACTCGATGCGCTCTGAAACTACGGCGGCCGAGGACAAAAAATACACATGCGTTAATCGCGTTAAAATAATTAGTGGCGTTAATTTTTTTTTTGCGTTAACGCGTTATTAACGCGTTAACTTGACAGCCCTAATTTATATACATTTATAAGGATGGCATTGTTAGATACCAGTACAATTCCATGATTCTCTACACAGCAGATCCTAATTACTTCAATATACACTCCTTTATCTCGTTTGCATACTGTCTAATATCTACTTTATGTTGTAGTAAAACATCTCCTTAATAAAACTGTATTTATTGATATTTCTCGCTAAAGACTGCATTTTACTGTACTACATTGAACACATCTTGCTGACGTTATACATGCCTCCTCGCCCAATACACACTTTTACTGAATTGCGCCTGAATGCACCTTAACTGAAATCACCTCCGTCACTTTCTACTGAGAGTAGTGATGGGAATTATGGCTCTTTGAAGGGAGCCGGATCTTATGGCTCCGTTCCTTTCAAAGAGCCGTTCAAAAGAGCCGTTCAAAAGAGCCGTTTTTTTAAAAAGGGGGCGGGGTTACTAGGTTTATCTGCGAAATAATCACCAGGATAATGATTGACTGCATTGCCAGACCTAATGTCAATAATCTGCATTGTAAACATGACACAAGGTGGCGCCATATCCATGTCATTCATGTCAGTGAATGTACTTTGAATTTACCCTCTGCATGTGTTAAGTAAATAAAGTTGCCTTGCCTTGAATGAAATTCACGCAACTCTTAATATTAGTAGTGTGTTTTTAAGTGGCGATGGAGATTATTTGTTGACCCTGCTTTAAAGGATATTTTGCCTTTACAAATGGTGCGCTTATCACTGCCTGGGTTTTGGTTGAAGTGCATCCAAATGCTGCTGCGTTTTCGCGTTTGGCTCATTTTACATCCGAAAAACACGTCGTCTATCTGTCCAGTACCACTTGTTATGACTTCTCTCTCTCGCGTATTCCGTTAAGACCCACCCCACCTAACTCCTCGTGCTGAAACCTACAAATCAGAGTAGGGGCGGGTCTTCACAGAATACGTTTGGGGAACAAAATCAAGCTTTTTAAAAGGCGAGTGAATTTTGGCAGGCAGTGAGTGCGGACCAACTTTGATTGAACGATAAGAAGAACGGCTCTCACCAAGTACGACTCGGTTCCCCTCGTTCGTACCAAAGAGCCGTTCAAAAGAATCGGCTCGTTCGCGACCGACACATCACTAACTGAGAGCTAACGTTAACTCTCCTGCAGATTCCAACATGGATAGCGTTGCAAAAGCATGAAATATATAGTTTGCACTTAACACTTAATAACAACTCGATGCTGTAACTGCAGACTATGAGTTTAAATTGGGTACACTAAGATTGTTGAAAGATAATTCATTGCTCACAGTAAAACAAACGGCGAAATACATATAGAGGAATTAATATCAAATAGGCGCATTAGTAACTTACTCTTACATAACCGCTGGGTTATAAAGTAGTAGGGAATAGTTTTAACGGAGGTATTTTACCGCACAACATGCACGGCAGGAGAGCCTCTGAGCCCCGCAGCCGCATCATGGTGCCTGGGCCAACGCTTAGAGCGGCATAGGGGAACAGTTTGCAGAGTTGATTCTTAATACGTACTCTTAACTTAACCACTTTTAACAGAATTGCGTCGGTAAGCACTTGATGCAAACTTTGCCCAACAACTTTGCGTGAAGAAATAGACTACATGAGCACGACAGGGCTGAGTCTAACTTTAACAGCAGTAATGGCGCTGGCATGCATTAAAATGTCGATGTTTCGTTCAAAACAGTGAATACAAGAAAAGTAAATAACACTTTCTAGTTAAAAAGCAGTAATTAATAACTCAGGTGGCATGCTTACTTGTTTTACGATGGTTTGAGGAGGATCCAACGCAAACACGTGTCCAACTGCTGAAGAACCGCTGCAAACTTGAGGAACAGGAAGTCTCACACCGCGGTATTCTCGTTTGAGGGCGTGGCATGACCGTGGCGTTGAAAAAAGCATTTTTATTACGTTTTCCAAAACGTCTTTTTAAAGAAAGTTCAGCAAATGTGATATTAATTTACAAATTAATGAGTTCTTAAAACATGTTCTCATTGTTGCTTACGTGTTACTTATTTAAACGCACATTGAAAAAAAACTAATTTAGGGCAAGTAAATTACATAAAAAAATTGAGTTTTGTTGACTTCACCATCGGAACTGTTTTTACAGTGTATGTACTACAGCGTCTCCAGCGCTTTCGAATGGCAATGGCCGTGGCTGTCTCCTCCTGATTGGTGGAGTTGGCCCAATAGCCGTAGCGCCACTGTCCTGACGTCAGGACAGTGTTCAAATCTGGATCAGTTTTTATCAGATCCGTTGCAGCCCCTTTTTTAGAGATTTGGGTATGGAGGAAAATAGAGAGGGTTGTGTTTTCTGACACTTGGTCAGTTCCCTGGAACACCGGGGACACATATTCATGTATAAAAGACGTACAAAAGTGCATTTTGCATGATAGGTCCCCTTTAAATAAAGGACTTCTAATAAAGTATTTCATCAGTGTGGCATTGGTACTTTTACTTAAGGAAATATCTGAATGCTTCCTCCACCGCTGGTCATCATTAGTATTCTGACTCTGAGCTTGTGGCTAGTAGTTAGTGCCAGATGTCCCCCCCCTCCTCCTCCTCCTCCATGCAGGGAAACCCCATGCAGCAGCCGGCCATTTATCCGTTATGAGCACATGAGGAGGCTCCTGTTGGCAGCTTATGTCAATCTGACAACCCGCTGATGGTGACTTTATGATGTCTCAGCATGACGCCTTTCACAGAGAGACATCTTTCTCAAAGCCTAACGGGACGCGTTACAATGAAGGCGCTCTAAAAATATGTATGGAGTTGGATCTATTGTAGCCTACTGTTTGTTTGGAGCTGTTGTTGTGGGAAGTAATGAGGGGGATGTTTACTGTATAACAGCAAATGAGTGAGTCCCTAACAAGCCTGTTAGAGCTTTGACAACATACTGTGTTTTTGTCCTTCTTATCTTCAGTATTGTAGACTGTGCTGTGAGAGTTAATGACATTTTTTTATTTGTGGACGGTGGATGAAGTTATTTGGTCGTTACTCTGGGCACCAGAAAGCATGCAGACCTTCAAAATATCATTCTGCAGTGGCTAACATAAGAGACAGCCGGTCTCGCTCTGTATTCAGGTAGCGCAGCAGGCATGCTTCACATAAATACACATTTCTTTGAACAATTATAGTATACCTTTTACATCGAGAGTATTGCAGTCTTTGGTCATTTTTCTGACTGAACAAGTCTGTTTCTGTATCTGGTAATGCTGTCATATAACATTTGTATTATCTTAATTTGTGATACAATATTCATATACAAACAACGTAGGTTTTCTTTTCTTTAAAGCTAAGTTATTAGTACTAAGCTCGCTATTCCCAATCCAATATGCATATTTCTTTTGCACGGATATGACATGCTGAAAAAGCTACGACTGAAAAGCAAGACCAAGTAAAAGATTCAGTTGAAATTGTTAACAAGCTACTGCCATCTTAAGGGAGGAAAACAGCATAGCAACAAGAGGCAGCTGTGAACACTCAGCCTACATATACAATAGATAGATGCTGTCAAAACCTTTGTTGCAAAAGTATATTATATATATATAAAAGAGTATTCATTTAATAGTCAAATACTGAGAAATGTAAAACAAGTATTTAATCCCCTACCAATTATACCTGGATTGTTATAAATATGACAAGTAACGTAAGCAGTAGAACAATAAAGAAAGGACAGTGCCACATCTGCTTGAAGATATTTAGGAAACCATTACTTTATTTTTGAACTATATCTTTTCACACTTCAAATATTCAGACAATTATAAACAAAGGCAGACCGTTTATTCATCATTAGGTTCCTCTGGAGTCAAAACTGCCCCCAAAATACAGAGGATACCATAACCACTGTGGATGTTTAACCATTGATTCTCAGAGAAAGACACAACACCAGTCCTGGACTTTTCTTAACATTTAAATAACAAAGGGCTATTACTCACACACAGCGGAACGATAACATCTGACATTTTTCAATTGCACAAGATTCAAGCACAAAGAAAAAGTGACCAGCCGGCGTCTGCAGACAAGAAATACAAACATCCCTTACTGAATTGTGCACTATCCATCTATTAGTTTTTATTGAAATACATCATGAGGGATAGGCTTCTAATGAGACTTTAACCACAGAACTCAAGGCAACCCATACAAAATGGAAGAACAACAATGATATGATTATAATAAGAAATAAAACAATGGAAAAAAGAAAGTTGGATTTACCGAGGCTAATGCAATGTTGTCATGCTGTTGTTCACTCATCTAACACTGTGTCACAGTCCTGTATCAGATAGACAATGGTTCAAAGGCTGCTGCAACATTCATTTGAAGCAGTCTCCTCCTTTATTTTGGCATTAGTTTCAGAAGGCCATCTTTTGGTGTACAACATCATGTCTGGATCTCCACTGGAACAAAGTGGCTCTAAGTGGCACTGACTCTGTATGTCTTTAGCTGCTCTTTTGTTTTTGTTAGCAACCAATGTTCCAATACAGTTTGTTTTCAAGGCAAAAAAGAAAAGTAATTACTCTAGTTGTAAAAACACGAGTTTCATAATATGAATTACAGACTATTCTGAGCTGTGGATCAGCCACCAATTTGTTGTTTCAGAACAAGAGTAATAGGGACTTTCAATGAGAAACTAGATTTTAGGAAGCTGCACTTGCAAACATGGACAGGAGGCCAAAATACTGTAATAAAAGTTGAAGGCAAAAGTCAGTCAGTCACTTCACAGGTGTTGTAACTTCAGGCTGCACAAACAAAAATGAGGTACCACAAGATATATTACATACATTAAAAGGTACCAATGATTTATATTATGTTGGCTTTAAAGTGCTTATCTTTACATACACACAAGACAACAATCTCTAAAGCAGCACTAATATGTCATGTCACATTATTTGTCTGAAAGGTCATCATCACTAACATGACATAAGGGCAAGAGAGAATACCTTTTCACAAAGCTCTGCTGCAAGAGGCCACACATCTTAAAGTCTCCCTCAGTGAAAGGGAGATTCTTTAATAGACTGTTTTCAATCTCTTCAATATAGTTCTGCTTCAGCACAGCCGAGGAGCTAGACGATGAGATGCAATCTTTACCCAGGCGGCTCTGCAATGTTGCCACGCTGTTGTTCATTTGGTCATCTGACTCATTGTCGCAGTCCTGTTCAATTCTTTGTCCACTGAGCAGACTCATGCTCTCATCTGCTGACAGTGTGTCGTTGTTCTGAACGTTGCTATGTCTCATATGTGGACTACTGTGTATGTCATTTGATACAGTCTCACTGATTATTTTGGCATTAGTCTCAAAAGGCGTTCTTGTGGTCTTGACGATGTTGAGGCACATGTCTCCAGTCCCTCCTCTGTTTTTCTTAGGGGTGTGGTACTTGCTCGGGTCAACAAGAATGCAGTCAGAGTCATTTTCACTAACCTCTGCGTCCATCTCTTCCTCAGAAGCATCTGGCTCCGTGGCTTCTTCGCCTGACTTCCCAGCTCCACGTACAGGAGAATCAAACAACACCCCTTTGGGTAAAAGAGGCTGGAAATGTCTGCGGCGGGGGCTGGTGTTTGCGGAGGAGCTGAGTTGGCTCTCAGGCTGACTCAACATGTAGTGTCGGACACACTCAGGCACCAGGATTTCATGGCGTTTTCTGTGGGGCAGTAAGGCAGAGAAGCTAGCAGGTACATGGTTTCCTACAATGGGTACAAGGGAGGTAGGTTTAAGTGCAGAGACAAAGTCCTCCAGCTCTTGGTAAGAGGAGTGGTCGGAGTAGGGAACCACATGGACATTTGGGTGAAAGGACACCAGGGGCCTGCTGGTGGGCAAGATGGCCAGAGTGGGTTGTTCTTTGTCCCACTTGTGTACATTGGCAGAGCAGATCTTCGACTGCTCCACAACTCGGATACGACCGGCACCTGGTTCTGTTGTGAAGACGTCAGGCAGCTCAAGGGCTTTGAGGGTCTGCATTCTCTCAAAGCTCACCTCAACCCAGGTTTTAAACTCCATTGCCAGCTCCACTAGCAAAGACTCCTTGCCCAGTGCATACAGGCCTGCAAAGCAATGCAAGAGAGAATCAGGGGAAAGTAGAAAAAAAACCCATTGAAATCAATAATAATAATTGCAATTTGAAAAGAAAAAACCCAATAAATAACATATTTCTAAATGAGCATGCAGTTGTATGTCAGAGGTTTTGTATTAAACAGCTGATCACTTTGTATTATAACTTGCCCTGGCCAAGAGAAGAAAATAATAATGACCCTTTAATTAAGAGAAACTACTTTTAGTGCATGAAAACATTCCCTTTGTTGTCATCTTATTGTCTAGTGGTGACCATCTATATGTTCATACTTCTAATGCGACTAGTAAAACAAGACATAATGTAAAGAAAGATCTAAATTAAAATACCTATGACAACATTGTGGTTTGGGTGTCTGCGGATGATCTCTTTGATTTGTTGAGTGGCTTGCTGTCTGGAGGGAAGGGTGTGGTTGGGGTCACAGTTGGTGTTGTCCATGTACAGGACATCTATAGTGGTGTGGGTCCTCAAGCATGGCTCAAGCAACATGGAGGGAGTGTATCTGAAGTCACCTGAAATGACAGTTACCGTTACATCACATGATTCTGTTATCGATAAATTAACAGCACATATGATGCTAAATGTGACGTTAGCAGAAAGCATTAGAGGAGGAAAAAACAGCTCAAGAAATCCTTCTACATCCTAAAAGAATCAGGTAAAACATGCTGCCCAGACACTCACCAGTGTACAGTATAGAGCCAAAGTAGCCTTCGAAGAGAAACATGACAGAGCCTGGACAGTGGTTGGCTTCTATCAGTGTGACGGTCAGCTTCTCCTTGCCGATGTCATCCATTGGCAACAGGTATGGCTCATCCAGCTCTAATGGGTGGATCCACTTTTCTTTCACCTGAGCAGAATCAGAAATAACGTGTAAAAGATAACTTAATTTAGTTATTTCCACTGTTGCTACACCCTAATGACAATTGTCTTATGTTGACTAAGTGAAAGAGGACTGCCCACCAATTGAAAAAGTCCAAGGATAGTTCAGTCAATATACATTTGCTTAAATAGATTGGATTTATAAAGCCATAAAAGAGTGGGCCGGCAGAGCTTGGGTTGGCATTTGAGTCCTAGTGCACAAGTGCATGAGTCATGTGACCGCCCTCACCTGCAGCTTGAGTCTCAGCAGAGTGGCGGTGGTCGGTGAGCAGTAGATGGGCCGGTTGCTCCAGGTAGAAGTCAGACCCACCGTGTGGTCACTGTGCATGTGGGACAGGAAAAACAGCCGTGTGCCTGGACACTTCCGCACCTGCCAGAAGTCCACGGCCAGCGGGGTGTGCGGGATGACTTTCCCGTTGACTGACATTGTCTACAGTTTGCTGGATATCCAACAACTACCAGTGCAACAGGTGAGATAACACGAGACGGACGATAACCGGTGTCCAAATGGTAACTGCTATTTGGGTATTTTTCGACAGGCATGTGTGTGCTAAATTGTGGGTAAAGCTAAGGTTGCTTCAGTGAATCTACACAAGTATTGCATTAATTGATCTCGGTGATAAAATATTGCAGCTAACAGAAGGGACCCCTGACGTTGCTAAACAGAACACAATGTGGCTATCTGTAGTTAGCATTAGCCGGCTAAATACCATACTTGCTCATTGTTGATAAGCGACGCCATTATCTTCGCTATCAGAACATCCCCTGTCCAACTTCACATCACAAGCAGAAGGCTCCGTTACATGTTGACGGCATGGTTGACTGTGCTAATAACAACAACAACATCCCCGCCATTTCTGTTTTCAATTCAACACTAAACGCCTCTTCCTGTTTTCATTCTTCATTCTGTAGCTGTCGTCCTGATCTCTGAACCACATCGCCACCTGGAGGATGAACCGTGGTGCACCCATAGGTGAACTCCGTTGCCGTACAAAAACATCTAAATGTAGAAGGTAAACAAATATATATTTACCAAATAAAACATTAATATGAAGCACATTTTCCTTAGAAAGAAATTAGATGAGACTGAGAATGACACAAAACTTAAACTTATATATCTGAGAAACCAGTCAAATTGAGTGTCGTAGAGTGAAACGGATCTGATATAGTCAATTTTACTATGAAATTACAAAAGGCAATACTAAGATTTATAAAATATTCAAATATATATTCTAGATATGTTGACTAATCTAATACTTTTTTTTAAATCATTCCTAACTTTTCATTACAATGCAATCCAGCTGTGAACACACGCCTTCTCTTTATTAATATTAACAATATTGCAATAAGGTGGTTCAAAAATAAATGTACATTAAGAAGCATCTTCCTGAAAATGATTGAATTGTGGTTTACTCTCCAGAAGATGGCGCCAAGAGAGAAGAAGCAGTTTCGATTTTTGTTGAAATAGAAAATGTGTCCATTGACATTTATTTATAAATATCCCACAAATTGAGAAAATATAAAATGTAAAAATATTCTTAAACACATGGTAAACGTTGACATTAAACTATCGTTATTTCATCCTAATAATAACATAAAAATATGTTTTGAACCTTTCCTAATATAAAAGGTAAATCATTTTATTACAGAAAATAAACAAAAAACCCTACAATGTGCAATATGTGCTAGTATTTATCTAATTGTGATATTCGATGATAGATTGTTTCCTCTTCTGAACATTTGGCTCATCTGGCATGATGTTTTTATAAATACAGACTATCCTGAATGTAATTTTCCTGAACACCATCACATTCAACTATCTGTAATATTTTACATGTGTATTTCATTTTTAATATACTTAGGTGGAGTTATTATAAAATGAGGGTATTGCTATGGTGACAGTGACCCATTGTAGCCCCCTCCCCCAATGTTTGCACACTACTCACTTTTCAGGATTATACCTGGGATTGCTGCACATTCCTCTTTTATCGCACAGCGTGTGCTCTCTTTATATTCAGAGGCACATTAATCATGCTCTGCTTTGCAGTTAATTATCTATCTTTCCCACACACACACACTCACACATGCAGCTTACCCTGCAGACGAAATTGTGGTAAAGAGCAGAGGAGTGGGTCGAGCTCAGTCAGGGAAGTCCCTGTTACTATTCACATCTTATGCTTTGAGAGAGGTTACACAGCTGGGTGCCTTTTTAGATTAGTGTGAACTGTGTGGTGTGATTTCATGCAGTCAAGACAGAGACAAGGCAGCAGGGGATTGATTACAATTCACTTCTATTGCACCATGTAAAATTGAGTTTTTTTAGGTAAATACATGGTACATATTTCACCTTGTATAGAATAATAGAGAGTACAAGTATACCTGACACATACAGTAAAAAAAAAGGCCACTGCAGTGCTGCTGATCTGAAAAGTCCATTTATTTATCAATGAGCCTAGATTCTTAGTGAAAGGCTTGGGGATAATTTGTATAGCACCCAGGATAACTTTATGTATACCACATATATTGTATCTTTTATCCGTCAGCAAGACTTCAACAATTCCACAAACTATTGAGCACCCTCACTCACAATGGAAATCTCACTCCTAGATCATGTGTTTTCATTTTACCAGCACATAATATACACAAAACCAATGTGTAGAATGACAGAAACACAAGCACAGTGAAAAAGCAGCAACAATGTTTACATTCATCAAGGCAAAGGTTGCTGAGGTCAGGAGGATGAGTTGTCTTCTCTGTCATGTTGTTATGCAGAGAAAACAAAAGTGGTGTCAGATGCTACAACAGCAGATGGCTGCACAGTCTGTGATCTGCCACTACCGTTTGAACAGCAATGCTTTAAATCCACCATATACAGTACACTTTTACTGACCTCAGTAAGTCCGTAGTATTGTCATTTTTCCCATTAATTCGTCTATTTACTAAACTGGAACTCTATACTATAACTATTTAAACTATGGCCAAACAATAAATGTCTTCCAAATGGCAATATGGACTAGTTCAATACCCAAATTACAGGAGGTGAAACATTTGTTAAAGTCAAAATATGTCTTAAAACACTATTTCTGAATAAATTATTGTGGTGCTGCAGAGAGGACCCTAGTCTCTACAGACTTGTTTAGTGCAGATCCTCACAAAAATCACAACATTATAATTTAAATATGTTTTTCAAATAATTGTAATAAAAAAACGGAGAATAAAGATGCAAAAATGATCATATCCTCTATTACCCTGAACCATAAAAAACGTCCCATGCATGACCTCTTGTGGATTCTCATATGTCATGCATCACTATGTATTGATCCTCCGTGAATAATGAGGAACGTGCGCTATCTCCATTGCCCTCATTTATCTGAGTCAACACATTTGTACAGTCAGAAGCAGTGACAGCTTTATTTCTTACATCCCCCAGGGAGGATGCACTGGTGCTGTCCACACACTCTGGCTGAGATATTTATGGACATGTGTGTGAAGCCAAAGATGCCAGCCAAAACGAGCTGGTGAGAAGACACATTCTCATCCTCGCATGCACTTTCACTTATTCCATCTGCCTTTCTCTGTTTATCACTCTGTCACTCTCTTGTTCTTCCAGTCTCTCTCTGTACGGATATGTTTTTGCTTTGTTTTCCTGACTTGATCCCCTCCACTCTGTCATCCTCAATAGGGCTTCATGAGGTTTTTGTTTGTGCTCTTGCTGTTTTATTTTGACACGCTGGGGTTGGACTGCTGTCTAAATCTCTTTACAGACAGGTTTTGAGACTGCCTTCATTTCCTTTCCACTGTAACACCTTAGTGTCGGAGGTGGAGGAGCTCTATGTGGGGCCAGGCTTCAACGCTCCACGATATACTGCGGGTTATGAGAGCTCGCTGATTCCACCACTTATCTGATTTGATTAGCCCAGTTCATTAGACTTTCAGGAGCGGGCGTTGAGGCATGCAGTCATCCTGCTGAAGATCCTCCACCGACCAGCGAAGGGTGCCGTTTTTAAGGGCCGCATTATGCAAAGGATTGTGCTCGTAGCCTGCTGTCATTGCAACGCTGCATACTGAGGGAAAGTGACTCTAATTGTCCTCCTGGAGGGCTCCACGTCTTTTTGAATTTCTCTTGGTAGGACGCAGACATGGGAAAAATCACCGCAGACTCTGAAAGACCGTGCAGTCCTAATCAGCATCATAAGTCATTAATTCTCTATCTATGAGCGGAAGCTGAGCCCGGGTCATTAATCAACTATATCAGTTTTTGATCAAAACAGATGCTGCTACTAAAGAGAGAATAAGAGTGTGAACCAAATGAATATTGCATGAGAAACTTGCTGTAATACTTTTTTGCTTCATCCTTTGGTGGTACCTAAATGTTACACAGTAATCCTGTTGTGCACTGGACACAACTATAAAGAGTGGTTGAAGGTTTGGTGTAAAAGGTGATTCAAGCAGTATTTACTACACTGACACTGTAAATGTTTCCAGTGCTGTATTGAATTTTTGAAATGTGAGCTGTAGTTTTTGAGCTTTCATACAAAAAACTGATTTTGGTGGAGTCCCAAGATTGTTTTACAGTTTTGCCAAAGAAGATATATTTGATTATTAAAGAGAGCTCTTGTAGTCCCTGACAACGAGCTGACAATTCCTCAAAGGTACTGTCAACCATGAAAAGGACACCCAGCTGTGTATTATTTGTTTTTCCACATGAGTTAGGAGGAACGTGATCATTCAGTGATCAGATTTACACACATTGCTTCGCTCTGTGCATGTTACACACGATTGGTATGCTGCCGTGATTTTTAACGTCATATCAGTTAAAAATGGGCTATCTTCCATTACTCTTTCACGTAGATCAGGACTGGATTCCGCAGAAGGGGTTCCACATTATGATTGCATTTTTTCATAGATGCAAAGAAGAATTTTGCTCTAAGCTTTTTAGATACGGCTTTCTCTCTATAACAAAAAACAAAATATTGTAGGTGCATTACCGAAGATTGGATGATGGAAAACTGAAAATCTGCAGTAAAAGCATCATTCACTTGAAAAAGAGAGACTCTCATTTAGTCGTGAACAATGGGTTTTAAAGTAGCTTCAAGTCTGCCCGCTGAGGCTCGAATAAAAGTACAACATGGGTGAACGTTATGAGAGCAAAACACTATGTGTGTTGTTCTGTTTATGTTTTTAATGTTTCATGTGGAACCTACTTGAGCAGGTCTCCCTTGAAAAAGAGATCAATGATCTCAATGGGATACAACCTGGATAAATAAAGGTGTGAAATGAAATGAAATGAATGTGATTATGGCAAATCTTGTGAGGTAGATATGTTAAAGGACATCAACATCTAAGGGACGTTTTAAGACTTCTGTTGAGAGTTTATGTCACTTATGTTACTCTTAATAGATACCACAGATTTAAAGATGTTCTTATTCGTGCCAGTAGTACCCTGCACACTAAACTGTAATAAAAGACACAATAAATAATTGATGATTTAAGCCCCAGAGAAACTGTACTCACAGGGCGGCAATATGCTTTAGTGTATCAATGTGCATGACAAATTCTGCGTTAACTCATGATGTAGTGAGGTGCTTCCCTAGTCCATAATGCACACATGAAACAGGTTCTGCTTTTACTACACAAGAATTGTTCTGCGATCATTTCCAATTCCTCTTAAAGCGCTTTTAGGCTGCAAGAAAAACTCAACTGTAGCTGCTTCCCTTCTTGTTTGAAACATTGCCTGTAATACTGCCCGATGGGAATCGTTATGGGAAATGCTCTGTTGTTGTTGTTGTGAGGGAATGTGGAGGTGTGATGTGTTTTGTTGCTTAGTTGCTGACGGCATCCTTGAAGTGCTTCA